TTTTTTATTATTACTTAAAATTAAAGTGAAATAAAACACAAATATAAAAATATATAAATTTATTAATTAAATAATACATTTTTTCCTTAATATATAATATATTTACAAAAAACAATATCTATATACAATACAATAACAAAAAAAAATATTTACAAATAATATTTATTTAACATATACATATAATGTCTGAGAATAATCTCTAATTTTGATGGCCATTTGCTGTTGTCTGGACCAGATGACCATCTAACACCTTGACCATTGGTACCCTTGGAGACGTTCTCCTGGAGCCATACCATCAGCTGCCTATGTGTTTCATTAGTTTTTTACATTTAATTTAAAAATTAAATTATTTTCTTTAATTTCCCGGTGCAGTTTCCAAAAAATTATATTGTGTAAAGTAAGCGGCCTCACAAACGGCCTTATCTATTGACCAATCGATTTCTTTGTAATTTAGAAAAATATTTTTTGCCGAGAAACATTGACTATGTCGATCGACCAATGACGGATCACCGTTGACCAATAATTTTTCCAAATAATACCGATTAAATGAATTTAATGTTGGATAATGACACTTTATAATTTGACGTAAAATATCGAGGATAATATGAGACATATATTCCTTTTGGAAAATATTTTGCAGTTGTTCAACCCGATGTTACATTTATCACGCAAAGCTAGCCAATATATTGCACGGTCCGGAATCACGATTTTTTCCAGAATTTTTTGAAAATTATCGTCAAAAATAGCTTTTTGAAGGAAATTTTCGTAGTTTTTTTGTGAAATTTTAACAAGTTCGTATTGCAATTGAATGTCTAAGTCGGCCATCGCTAACAACGAAAGAAAGACGAATGATGTCAACTTTTACTATATCGCGCTATTTATTTCGACTTAGAACTCCATGGGAGTGGTCGAACAAGTCGCTGCTTGTTGGAAATTATATCCCCACGGGATCGTGTCTTTGGTTATGTAATTTATTATGCGCTTGTCATCGTACGGACTGAGAGCCAATTTATTTTGTTTAATTGTTTAACTTTAACCAGTGTGTTTTGATTAAATAGGCAATTCGTGAAATCTTCGAAAGTAATGTGTTTTACGGTTGATCGAGTAAGTCCTTTGATACGCATATTTGAGGGTTTTCCCTCGACTTTATACGAGTACATTTTAGCTCTGAGCCCGGCATATTCGGTAACTATTCTTCCACAGCTTTCGTTTTCATAAGACCTAGTACTTTCTTGTTGATGCGAGGCATACCGTACGCATTATCTTCGGGGTAGTCTGATGTATCAAGCAGCTGGATGTCTCTCTTCATGCTCTCGTAAATGTCAATGTCCGTGAATTCGTATATTAAACTGTCAGTGTCCGTGTACAATAATTTAGCCTCATTGCCGAAATTTTGTTTAATATAATCGTAATGGAAATCGTAAAGTATAATTTTGGAAAGGTCCAGAATACTAAATCCAACATAAATCGGCTTGTTGAACTTAATTTTGAGTCTGTTCATCTCTACTATAACCATGTCTTCATCGAAAATTGTTAAACTGTGAAAATTTGGTTTCGCGATCAAATTTTTTGCCCCATATCGACCCTCCCATTGTGTGACCAGTTTAACGTCTTTATGTTTTCGCACATTTTCCATGGTTTTACCAAAGACAGAATTATTCATTAATTTATAGAAATTTTTCTCAAATTCGTTAGTCGCCTGTTTCCGTAAATCCGTATTTAAATTTATGTATTTTTGTAACCAAGCCGATTGGTTGAATTTAAGAATTTTGTGTACTTTAGTAATCTTTAATCCCCGCTCAATACACCGTTTCAATTGTCTGTAATGGATAACGTAACCGGTTTTCGAAAAAAGTGTTGTCAGTAATTTTGATTGTTTGCCTCCTGGGGGAACCATTTGTTCCGGGCACAGGGGTAAGTCTTTGTGGAGTTCATGAAGTTCGGGCGGGTACTCAATGTCCACTTCTAAAATATAACCGATTTCAGCATCATCTGCTAAATCGGTTATATTCAAGTTGTAGAATTGATCGACGGGTACCCACTCGAATCCCCCGGTTGGAAGGGGAAGAGACATCGCCGCGCCGTATAAGTTATTTACATCATAGTACATGATGTACTTATCGGGTTCGTCCGGATTGTATGCCTCACCCATGTACTTGTTGTTAGCCTTTGAGTACCGGTTCGACACTTGGGCTACGCCACCTCGGATCCCCTTCTCGATCATCAAAACTTTGTCAATGTCCGTCAGTAATTCTAATGTCTGTTTAGTAATTTTGAGCATGGAATCAAAGGCCAGACCGGGGGAGGTGTAATAATGTAAAGGCTCAAGACCGTAAGTTTTTAGACAATTTTCACGAAAATTTTCGAAAATATCAGCCAAAAGTAGAACGTCAGTTTTCAGGTACAAGTCCGAATATTCCCCCAAATTTTGAATATTAAATGTATTCCAGACATTTGTAGCGTGCTCGTACTCGCTGTCTGAAATAGCTTCGTCAGTCAGTTTACTATAAAAATCGTCTTTAGTCGGTAATGTCGTGTCATTTAATTTTTCCCACGAATTTAGATAATCGTAAGGAAAAACACCTTTCCTCGTCAAAAGGCGGAAAGTCTCCTCCGAATCACAATGAGATTTAGTGATTCTTTTTTGGCTGTCGTCGAGGTATGAGGCCAACTTTTCGATTTTGTCAGCCATAAACCGGAAAGAATCTATAAATCTCAATTTGATTCTGGTATCCTTTACGTCTTTTGTGAAGGAAATGTATTTTTCCTTATTTATTGGTAAAAGTGAAATGTTGCCCTCAAATGACGTAGCCAAGTGACGTATGATTAAGTGACTGTCGTAAGAAGACAAGCAATGAAAAACGACCGGTATAACGTGACTGTCGTATAATTTAAGTTACAAGAATTATGACAAGGCCCCCGGTAGACTGAATTTAGATGTGAATGGTCCATAATTTTGATATCGAAACTGGTAAACGGTTTTTCGCAAATGTGACAAAATTTCGCGTTGTCATGTTCGAATTTTTGCGCGGCAGTCAAAGGCTCCATGGGCTTCGGGTGAGATAGGATGTTATTCACCTCGTCGGCAATATGTTCAAGTTCCCGGACGAACCACTCCTGGCAATCACTACCCCGATACAATTTAAAACGCGAGAGACTATCATCATATGAACATTTAAGATAATAGGCGACACTAAACGCGGTATGTTTTTGTACATTTTGAGTATTTAAATTTAGATCGTTGTTCTCGTCACACGGTTCCAAAATGCATTCAAAATCTGCATAAACGGCGAACGGTACCCTCTCTTTGAAACGATAATTTTTAAACTGTAAAAATTTTTCTTGGTAGTTCTACTTTGCAAGTATTTGTTCTATAATTGCAATATATTAAGTGATCATCTAAAAGACGCTGCTCTGTGAAATGATTAAGACAACGATTGCAAATGTATTTTTTAGTCTTATGTTTCGATAATTGTTTGAATAATAAGCGCGACATGTTTTTTATCCACGCAAAGTGATAAACAGGTGTCTCGTCGCCGTCGTTATCTTGAACCGAATTTGCCGGGACCATTAGTAAATTTATAACTCGTTTGCTATCGTTTTTACTCAAGCATACCGGTAGGACTTCCTTCTTATCAACGCCGTACACATTTATTGTCAAGTTATTTAGACGCTCTAATTTTAGAATTTGTTTCAAAGTTATAGGAAATTCTTTGCCGTCTAATTTTAATATGTCACGAAAATCTGGACATGATGAAATTCTAGCTGTATCTCTTTTAGCTGGATGTAGAGCAGAGACTATGCTCCATAAAATACAATATTCATCATTATTCTTTACGTTAACTACACACGTTTTATTTTTAATAAATTCGGGCATCTCGATGTACGTTGACGAGCCCACGGTAATCGGTGAATAATTATTTATATTTACACGCAACCCGATAATTTCCAACAAAGTCCAGCCGCTATTACGATGTTCAAAGTTTTCTAGTTTGTGTAGTATAGGTTGAATAACATTGTCTTCCCACCACTGTTTTATATTTGTACTGCGGTCAATAATTTCGTTTTTTGTCCCGAATGATTTTAAATTTACTTCCCCGTCATTTAATTTTACGAAATTTCCTTCAAAAACTAAATTTACTTTAATTAACGAGTCCTTTAAGGCATTTTTCGCTTTTATAGAAAAACTACGGAATGATTTTTTTTAGAAACTGTTTAGGTTCCTTGAGACTAACGTTCACGATGATTCCCGACCGCACACGACTCTTGAAGCACGATTTCACATCTTGCCACACCTAATTCTTCTTGTTGGGACGAACTACCGAACCTCCGGACACTTTATTTTTAATTTTAAGTTATTTTAGCTGTTCACGATAATATTTCAGCACCGCCAAATTGTTTTCCAAACGGAATATATTCTCGTTCTTATCAATTTGTGAATTTTAATTTTGATGGCCTCGTTTATTACGCCGATATTTTTATTTATAATTTTGATGTGTCTGTTGATCTCGTCATCGGTCTTCAACAGAGTCAACGATTTTTTGGTCAGTTTAATAATTTTACAGCTGACATCACACACGGTCTCGGCAACTGACATTTTGTATTTCAATAAAAAAAGTTTAACACGACTTTGAAAAGCAAACAAAACAATCACGTGCATTCGAACAAATATCGAAAGCAAATGAGACCTTTTCACGAGTCCGTCGGCTTTTATAGTCGACGCGTTCGACTATTTCTGGTTATATCCAGTTTTGCATCAAAAGCCTCTGAAACGCTGGACAGATAAAGCCATTGCACAACATTATGCAACATTATGAAATATTTCATCACCCGTTTATCTACAAGTTCCCACGCTAGGACCACAGCTACAGGTTGGAACTTGTTTAAAAGCCAGACAAAATTCCAAGAAAAGGGTAATAAATCATGTATTTGTTTACATAACGGTAATATAAACAACG